TCGTGGTCCGAGCAGCTTTTGTGGGGCTGCATCACCCAGCCACGGGGCTCCAGTGACTCTTCTTCGGTTCATAGCGGAGCCGTCCATAGCGGCTGCCTCTTCTTGCAAACCACGCGGAAGCTTTCCCCATCTCCTGTACTGCACTACAGCGCCTCTCATCCCCAGTCAGCATGACGGGGGCTGCAATTCACATCTGGGGGCAGCCAGGTTGGGGAAAGCCAATCCGTAGACGCATCCATGTGTGCGCACACGCCTTGCCTAACTTGGATGCTTTTCCAGTCGCAGGGAGGACATCCCTAAGGAGAAGCTGTGCGCCCTGGGAATGCTGGGCCAGGTGGACCGTTGTGCTGATCCAGCGGGGCGCCTCTTGGGCAGCGCACACGTGGGGACAATAAAATGGGCCGGCGGGCAATAGTCCACCTGCCTCGGCTGGAGCCAGGGGCCTGCCTGCACGAGGGAGGGAGGGAGGGAGGGAGGGAGGAGCGCTCTGCCCAGACCCCGGGAACCGGGCCTGGGCCTGCTTCCCAGGACGCTCCCCTCTTTGCCATCCCCACCAGATGCCACGTGGACGCGCTCTGCTCACCACCACTGGCCACGGATCCAGATGTTCGGGCTTCAACAGTCCTAACAGGCTTTTGACAATCTGGGTTGCTGTTTGTCTCTCCTCGCACCAGTTCTAGGCCAGCCTCCTCTCTACCTCTAGCGCTGTGCTGAGCGAGCACGGATTGTTTGCTGATGGCCGCAAGGTAGTTTTTCACAGAGCAAAGACAGCATTCTTCAGTGCGTGTTGTGATCCCCTTTATGTCCGTTTCGCTCTGCCGGGGTCAGGTTCTCCTGCCATTCAATTGAGAGCAATCCGACCGAACTGTTTGCCATAATAAACCTGCCGCGAAGATGGATGAGTGGTGATCTGCCCGTAAATAGGAAGGCTTCTGTTTGTATGGCTCGTCCTTGGTCTTGATGGAAACCAGAGCTCACCAGAAGCTAGAGAGATGGACGCCGGAATGCGTCGGACGTCCTGGCCAGCCACGGCCAGCGCTGTCCTGTTGGCCGAGCACCGAGCGTCCCGCCAGCGTGCAGCCTGAAACGGAATGGCCTCGGGGCAGCATTTGAAGAAGGATCGTTTTGGCTCGGTGCTGGTGCCACCCCACCGGCAACCTGGCAGTCAGTGTAGCGAATCTCTCCCAGGTGGCAGTTTGCTGCTGGATCGGGCGGCTGTTGGCTGAATGGCAGCCCGGAGTGTCTTTCCACGCAACTGTAAATAAACTTTGCGAAACCTGGACAGCGTTTTATAATGCAGGGCATGAATGTTTAATGCAAAGTATAAAAACCAGGTGCTTTGGCAAGGATTGTGGCATTTCCCCAGCATCCGACATAAAATGCTGCTTTAATGCTGTATTAGAAGGTCACTGCAGAGCCGTATTTTACTTAACATCCTCATCATTGAATTATTTATGCCCTCCCGATGTTTTATTCATGATCAATATTAATACCGGTGTCTTTAAGAGGAGAGGCTATTGCTCAATTTTACCTGGAAGAGATGATCTTATTGAAATAAAGCGACGGGGAAACCAGGCCTTCATTTGGGGGTGTTTTCACGGGCAAACTCCGCTTCCCCTTAACCCTTTGCCAACTGGAGGACTTTCATGCGGGGGATTCCTACAAGGTGGAGTTGCGTTCTCCTTTCGGAGCTTCCTTTGTTTATTTGGTCCCTGGGAAGCGTTTGTTGGGGTCCCCACATTTTTAGCATCCTGAATTTGTGGGCCTTTCCAGAGGGAAGCCAGAAGCCTTTCAGCTTGACGATATTCATGACCTGCTGAAGCTGTCCGTGCTTTCTGTTCATGGCTAAGGCAGCTCAGACTTCCTTCTTTTAGGAAATCCTTTTGACACCAGCTTAGCTGTTGAGGAGCCCCTTGTAGGTGCAAAGTAGGGGATCTTGTTGGAGTAGAGGGTGAAAATACACTCAGCCTTGAAGCTCTGTGTTGAAGAAGAAGGTGGAAAGTGGATATTCAAACCACTGGCCGTCACCGAAGGTTCTGCTGAAGGACACCTGTTAAGTGACCAACCACCCCAGGGTTTGGAAGAAGAGCCAGGACTCTGCCTCTTAAAGCACTTACTCAGAGGGTAAGCGAAGGAAGAGTTAAGTTTCAGGATAATTTCTTGCTCTGTCCATGAGCATCAGTGCCATTACAGTGGTCGCGAGAACCGAGAACGCCACTCGCTACTAAAAATAGAACAACGCCGTATCAATCCTTACAACATTATCACAATAAACCCTCCTAAAACAACTGTATTTCCATCGCACTTGCACTTCTGTGAGCTGGTGCTCAGCACGCTTTTCTTAACACAATAAAATGCAATTAGCGCTCAAGGGGTTTACATAATTTAATAAAATGCTCTCAAATTACATTAGAAGCCAGTTCAAACCAGATTTTCTTTTTGAAGGAGGAGTCGAAAAGGAACAGCAGCGGATCTCTTAAAAGCACGATCGGCACGTTGTGTTTTCAAAACCCTTCTCTTTAGCAAGCTGAAGCTTATGACAGAGGGGCGTGAGGAGGGTAACGCGGCCCATGTTTAATGTATGAAATGGAATAAGCATCCCATCTGTCGGAGCCCAATGGGACCCCGTCGATGAATGATGGATACTTCCTGACATGTCTATGGGTCTTTCCCTTAAAGAGATGCACATGTATTATCTTTGATGTATGTTGAAAGGAGGAGATTGTGGTGCATGTGTTTCGGGGAGAGATTGTGGGTGTGAATGTGCAGCCAGAAGGCATTTTGCAAGGGCGGGGGAGCGCGGCAGACTGAGGCACGGCTAAAAGGTGTCTTTTTGTTTGGGAAGTTAGGAGCTCGGAGGATTTCCTGGCTCCTGGCTCGATTAAGAATTAGTCTGGAGTTGGGAGCCGCTGTTCATCGGCCCGTGCTCGGCCAGCTGCGCCCTTTTAGCACATGAAGGCGGTGTGGCTGTCGAGGCAGCGTGAGGGCTCAGCCAGGGCTCTGCGTGGCCATGTCCTGGTGCAGAGCTTGCCTCTAAGGCAGGGCCCCTGGGACTGGGCCCGTTTGGGGCTGCTGTTGGAACGGGCCAGGACAGCCTGGCGGGGCGGTTGCCAAGGGCCTGCAGTCCAGCGCAGGCCCAGCGGTTCCCCTCTCCAGCAGCTCCTCCTCTTCGTCTGGGCTCCCCGGTATGTTCCCCCACTGCTCGCTCAGGCTTGGACAATAGCGATGCTCAGAAACGGAGGAGCAGAGGGTCTCTCCTGCTCGTTCGTGGACTCTGCTTGCGCAGCCAGTGGGTGGCGGCAGCGATGGAATGTCAGAAGCTGCCTGGTGCCAAGGTCAGAGGGCCCATCCAGCCCACTGTGGACTTCACGCAGGGATTTTTCCAGCCCCCTCTGGGATCATGCTGTCTTGGGATGCATGAATCGAAGTATTACCTCCACATCATGAGAAGGAACAGTTCCCCTGTACTCCTCATCAGTCAGACTTCATCTGGAATACTGTGTCCAGTTCTGGGGACCAAGACTTAAGAAAGATGCAGGTAAATTAGAAAGGGTCCAGTGAAGGGCAATAAAAATGATCCAGGGTTTGGAAACACTGCCCTGTGAGGAGAGGCCGAGAGAACTGGGCATGTTCAGCCTTGAGGAGGGAAGGCTGAGGGGGGGACATGATGTCCCTCTAGAAGTCCCTCAAAGGCTGCCGCAAAAAGGAAGGCCAAGGTCTCTTCTCACTGATTCCAGAGTGCAGGACACGGAAGAATCATTTCAAGCTGTGACAACCCAGAGTCAGGCTGGACATCAGGAAAAGCTTCCCCACGGTCAGAGCAATAGGACAGTGGGACCCGCTGCCTGGAGAGGTGGGGGGCTCTCCCACCCTGGAGACATTCAAGGTGAAACTGGGCAGCCCTCTGAGTGGGAGGGTGTAATGTGGTGTCCTGCACCAGCAGGGGGTTGGACTTGATGGCCTTCAGGGCCCCTTCCTGCTGTGCTCTTCTGTGATTCTAAGCCTGGGACCTGAGAGGGTGGACAAGGGGCACCCAAGCCAGGGACAACGGTGGTGAGCAGGAGGGCTTGTCAAGAAAGGGTCCAGTGGAGGGTGTTTTGCAGGAGGGCCCCCTAAGGACAGCCTGGAGATGGTGTGACGTGGGTAATGCTGCATGAGCTCTTCAGGGGGAGGGGGAGGTAGGCATGGCTTCACTAAATCAGCTCTGCCTGCGGAGTGAGAGAGGTCGTTGTTTCAAGGTCAGGAAGATCTGGACTCTTCCGATGGGGAGGATGGGCCTGGGAAGTGGGACCTAGAAGTACCGAGATGGAAGAGGCAGGGGGCTTATCGAGGCCGCCCTCCCCAGGTGTGCAGGGGGCCTCTGAGGGCAGCCAGAGGCAGCACCTGCCGGGGGGGGCCATGGGGGAGGCCCGGGGGCCAGCCGAGCCTGGTAGGACTCCTGGGCCCGTGGCGTGATGTGGGGAGAGAAGGGCTGGCCAACCGGAGGGGCGGTGGGTGGCTAAGAGGCAGCCCGACTCCAGAGGGGCCCTCCCAGAGGGGTGCCCCCCCCCCGGGTTACTCAGAAGGAAGTTCTTGGAAGTCATTTCTGGTGTGGATTCAATGAACTGCTCTGTGCATGCTCAGAGACTCATTTGGTAGCAGTTTTGCTTATTGCATGCAGAAGGAGCTTTTGCCAGGGCAGCCTGTTGCTTTGACAGGGCGAGGGGGAAGCCATGCTCCCGACTGCGTGGAGGCTCGGTGGTGGGCCCCGGGCCGCGCGGAGAAATCTCCCTGGACAGGGAGTTCCAGAGGTGCGAATCGCACCATCCAGCCGAGCCTCGCTGCGCCGCAGTCCGCCCCAACTGATGGCAGGCCTCTTGGGGTGGCGGGGGAGCCCCTTGGCTTACCTGGCGCTGGGAGGGAGGCTTGCTCCCACTCTGCAGCAGCTCACCTTTCGTGCGCAGAATTAATCCCAAACATGCCTCCGTTGTCTGTCTGTCCGTCTGTCTGTCTGTCTGCAGCCATGTCCGAGTTCCACATTCACCCCCAGAGCGCGGTGGTGGAGGAAGGAGGGGTCGCCAGATTCCAGTGCCAAATCCACGGCGTGCCTGAGCCGGTCATCATGTGGCAGAAGAACCATCTCCCCATCAGCACAGAAAATGACAGGTAAGCACCACAGGCCCACGCATGCTGCATCACTGCATTTCTCAGAATTCGTCTCCTTTGGGCATCCTGTTTATCTATCTATCAGCTTTCTATCCTTCCTTTTTTTCTTCCAAAGAACTCAAAGCAGCTTACATCCCCCCTCCTCTTATCCCCAAAACAACAGTCCTGTGAGGTAGGCTAGGCTGAGAGTCTGTGTCTGGTCCAAAGTCTCCCGGTTGGCGCCGTGGCTGAGTGGGGACTCGAACCCGGGTCGCCTGAGTCCCAGTCCCGTGCCCTGAACCACTGCTTCACACTGGCTCTCTCAGTGGTTCTCACACGAACGGAGCCGTTCAGCACGCTATGCCGTGCGTGCTGCAAAGGATTCTGGGAGGCACGCGGAGGAGCCCCATCCAGGGCGTCGTTCTGTGGCTGCATGTGAACTCTCCAAAGCACACTCGGCGTCCGGCACTTGTGAGATTCCCACGGACAGAGCAGCGAGCAGCTGTCTTTGAGGACCAGGCGCCCGATATCAGTGATCTGATAAACATCTGGGGAACTCCAGGGTGTGCCCATCACTGTGCCGGAGGAGTAGCGGTTCTAGGCTTGAATTAACGTTAAACAAGGAAACTGGATGTATGCCCAGCTGCATACATGTGTTCCCGTGTGCTCCCAAACTGGCAACTGCAAGGAGCCGTCCCATAATATTCCAAGGGTGTATCTGTCCTGGGATTTCTTATGGAGCCAGATGTGCGCATTGCAGACGCGATCAGACCATTAACACAGCGGGTTTCAAAAGCTCACGTTGCATTTGTGGTCTTGGTCCTGTTCCAGAGTTGCACCCGGGTCTCTCCCCCCCCAACCCTTTCCACTACCCTATTCCCAAGTCAAGGGAGTTTTTTCCCCCTTACCGGATGATTTAGTCATTTTCCAGTCACCCTCCCCTGTGCTGCTTTCTACCAATGAGTTTAGAGTAGCTTGCAAATTATAAAATGCATTAAAAAGTCATAAGAAATCACCAGAACGATTCAAAATCACCAGCCAAAAACGCAGACGATGGTAACCGTGGGCAGTACGAGGGATTCCGGCGGACTGTTTGGTTCCAGTTAATCCACAAACCAGGTGAAGCCCCCTTAAAGAGGGCCAGCTTCTCTCCCCACTGCAAGGAGAGCTCAGCTGGCTGGAGAAATTTCCCAAGGCAGGGAAGGGCAGCAGGGTGGTGGCCCTCCGAGGAAGAGGGGAGGCGGGGGCACCTCGTATTGCATTGGCCCCTTGTGGCGGCAGGGGCTAATATTGCCGCAAGGACCACCCTCCTCCCTCCAGCAGTTTTCTTAGCCATACCCGGAATTGCCAAGGGACTGACCTGAGGGCTGCTTGCGTGGGAATTGTCCCAGGTTCACCGCAGTGCTGCACCTTCTGGTGATGGCCACTGGAATAAATAAAGCATACTGTTATTGGGGGCAAGTAGTCACAGAGCTCACATCCTGAGGAGGCCAAACCCCCCCGAAGAAGACAATTGTGCTAGGGAAAGTCAGAGGCAGAAGAAAAGGAAGAGCAGTGGGGAGAGGGACCGACGCCATTAGGAAGAGCACAACTTGTGTTTGGGAGAGCTGAGCTGGGCCGTCATGGATCGGGCAGCCCATAGGGTCACCATAGTCAGAGACGACCAGGTGGCCTGTAGCAGCAAAACCACAGAGCCGGCTTTGGCGCCTTCATCCTCCCCAGCTGGATTGAGAGTGTGGTGCGAGGGGAGGTGGGCTTCATCTTCCCTCTTTCCCTGTTTCCCCACTGGCAGCACCCTTCCTCTGACTGCTTGGAAACATTCATGGGCATGCAGGCTTCCCAACCAGCAGGGGTAAATGTTGGTTTCAATCTCAGGCGGAATTGGCATCTTTTTTTCTAGAGGCTTGTTGGGTGGGCACCAGATCTGAATGCTCTGCTGTGAGAAAGCAAGGCAAAACCTCTCGCCCACAAAAAGAGGGCTTCCCCAGTGCCATTAAAAAGGCAGCAGCAGCAACAAAGGAAGGCAAAACAAAGCAAAGCAAAGCAAAACAACACAACTCAACACAACTCAACACAAATGAAACACAACTGCTGTTGAGAAGATTAGGATTGGGATGTTCTAATGTCTTATTGTAAATTATGTTTTCTCTAAAAAGAGGAGCCAAGGAGTTAAAGCAGTAGGGGTTAAAACATAACAAAACATTAAAACAATTTTGAGCAAGTGTGCAAACAATTCAGATGCCAAATCCAGCGCAGGACTCGGCAGAAAGAAAGCCCGCTCCCGCCAGCATTGCGTGGCCAGTATGCCCAGCTGCTGCTGACTGGGGCAGGCCGGAGTGGCGGGCCTGGACTGGGTCTAGATGATTGCCGGATCGCCCCTGGCGTGAAGCAGCCCCATCGTAGGCCCTCTGGGGTCAGCAGAGATCCCTCTCCCTCCCAGTCGTTGGCCAGCCTCCCTGAGATGCTGATCGCAGCGCGCTGGCCGCCTCTGGCGCTGGGCGAAATGTCCCATCCCACCTTCACGGGTCTCCTGGTCGCCACAGGTACACCTTGCTGCCCAAGGGGGTCTTGCAGATCACCGGACTCCGTGCCGAGGACGCCGGGATCTTCCACTGTGTGGCCACCAACATCGCCAGCGTGAAGTTCAGCAGGGGAGCCCGGCTCACTGTGTCAGGTTGGTCAGGGGGACCGAGGGTGTGCCTGGGGGGTGAGGGTGGGAGGCGGCAGGTCCTCATCAGGGCTGGCCCCGTCATCGGGCAGGAGGCGGCGGCAGCGGCTGCACCCGGCAGGAGAGAACCTCGGAGGCTTGTTGGAGGACCCATCTCTGTTGGCCAAACTGGTCCTCCTGCAGCCCGCGCCCTCTCGCCCGTGTCGGCTGCCGGGTTGTCTTGGGCTTGCGCAGGGCGGGGGCTGCCTTGCACCCTTCACTTCAGGCAGCGAACTATCTGGGGGCTGCCCTGCTTGCCACTGCTCAGCACCATTGTGTCCGACCTGTTGGTGGAGCTGCTTGGGCTGCAGAGGGCAGGCGGGACATTCCCTTTCACACGGTGTTCTGTCCACCCCACTTCTTTTCAAGGGGGGCTGTGGTGTCCGGCCCGCCCACCCCTTTCCCTCCCATTCCGGGCACTGCAGAGGACTGGACCCCCCCCCCCCCCCCCCTGCTCTGATGGCTGCCAGAGAACTTGGCCCGCTCTTCTCCATCTGTCACGGAGCGGGAGGCATCCTCGGGGATAACCGCCACGGAGGTTTTCTTCCGGAGCCGGTTTTTGCTTTGTCCCCTCTCCTGATGGGGCGACACGGAAAGCCTAGGGGGCCACTTTGGCACCATGTCCTGCAAAGGAAAAGGTCAAGTTGTGGCTTGTGCAGAGCATGCAAGGCAAGGCCACTTCCCCTGCTCTGCATCGCTGCCTGTTCGGCCTGTTCGGATTCCCAAGAAAGGGCCACAAGTCGCACAGGCTGGTGAGGCGCCGCTCCCTGAGCAGCAGAGCAGAAATTCTGCGATCTGCATAAATCATGGCTAATTTATCCTGCTCCTTCAAGTCGTGGGGCTGGACAGGGACCTGGAGAGGACATAAAACTCTTGCCCAACGGTGCAAATCCTAAAGTGCTTCCCTTGCCATTAGAGACCTCATCGCTGCCCACTTCAAAGCTGATCCTCTCTTTGGGTGCCGACTGGACAAAGGGAGGGCAAACTGCAGGACCTTTTGCACAGGGCTCTGGAGAGCAGAAGCATAGTATTTCTGCAAGCTCGGAGCTAACCAGATACGGTTTACCTTTGCAAAGCTGGTTTCCACCGGCCCCCTCCCCAGCCCGGCGCCCACTGCCCCCGCCGGCCTATTGGAGGCTGGAAGCGACGGCAGCAGTGCCATGCAGCTGCACAGAACTGTTTTGCCAGGGGCAAACGGGAGACGGTTGGAATTGCGTGCACGCTTTGTTTGGCGTTGCCGGTTGCATCTCCGTCGGGGTTCTGCAATTCAGCGCCACCGTCCCTCCAGGCCTTGCCTTGGTGCCAGGTGCACCTAAAAGTCTGTTGGAGCATAGAAAAGAGCGCAGCGCGATGGCTGGGAAGGGCATTTTTTCTCACAGCCAAGCCGCCTGAGTTGGTCCCTGGAGGCCATCCCTGCGTAGAAGCCTTGCTGCCACCGGGAGATTTGCTGGAGGGGCTTCGGGATTTGTAGCGATACATTTGGACGTGGGCAGAACACGGATGGCGGGTGTCAGGCCAGTGGGGACGAAGGTGCTCACGCCCGGAGTGAGCATTTTGGGTACCGCTCTTTCCTGCTTCCTACCTTTTCAAGGCCGGTGGTGGAGCAGAGAGTTTGCCGTGCAGGACAGCCCAAGTCTTGCACCTGCAGCTCTGGAGAAATGCTGCTAGTTGGCATCCACCGCCGTGCGCGAGAGAGACCTGCGGGCCGACTCGGTGGCAGGGCCTCGCTCTGTCGCTCAGAGGCAGCGCCTGTGCCTGGCAGGCGGGAAGCCTCCCTTCCCGGCCTCTCCCGGTGGGGCAGGAAAAGCACCTGCCTGCCATCGAGCAGCTGCGGCTCAGTGCGGACGACACTGGACTAGAGCGATGGGCAGGCTGGCTCCACGGGTGCCCAGGGGACCCTGGGCCAGCCTCACAGCCAGCGGGGTGGTGAGGACGGCCCTCCTGGACCGCTGCTTGGCCAAGCAGCTGGGCAGGCTCACGGGAGAGGCTGGGAGGCCTGGAGGTCTTGATTGCTCCCTTCCGCAGCGTCGCTGCACTCCTCAAAACGGCAAGCTGCGGAAAAGCGATGGGGAAAGACCGTGGCCTCCCTGGGTGTGAGCTGGCCGGTTAGGGGAGCACCTCGTTGGTTGGGCCAAAGAACGGGACCTTCCAGGGCAGCCCTGCTCTGTCTGCTGCCCGACAGTGTTGGCTAAACTAAGCTAGACGTGCCTTGAGTCAGCCAAGTCCAGTGACTCTTGATATTTATTCATTTGACACTTTTATATACTGTCCCAGCACTGACGTCTCGGGATGGTTCAATTCCGCCTGCTTCCTCTTCCTCTTCCTCTTGATAGCTCCAGGCCCGACCCCCACTTAGCATCCCGCAGCTCACCCCTGCTCGCTCAGCCAGCTCGCGGGCCGCTTGCACATCGGGCTGTGTCTCCCGTTCACGGCGAGGCTGGCCTTCTGCCAAGGCACAGCATCCCTTCCGTGGCTCCGGCCAGGGCTTCTCGGCTGGGCTAGAACTGGCTGTGCTGATGGCTCTTTGGACAGAGGTACCCGGGGGTGAGATGCCCTGAGCGGAAGGAAAGAGGAAGCAGACACAGAATTTAGCGGCACAGCAGGATCATGGGGTGGGGACTCCCACGTCCATGGGCCACGCTCAGGCCTTCTGGGACCCAGCCCCATGTGGCTGCACTGCCTTCCACCAGCCCCACTCCCTTTCCACCAACCAACCACCCATCATGTCATGGTTTTCTGGCCTTGGTGCAGTTTCTCGCCACTTTCTGGAAGGGTGAAATTTGTCTCCCGAGGCTTAGTTTTTGGCAATGGGCACTTTGAGCTAGAATGGCCTGGAACTCAGCAGCCCTTGAAACCAACCAGGACGGGCTTGCTTTGCATTTGCACTTGTGGCCAGCGCCTCCAGGTGGGCCATAGCTGATGCCGAGGAAAGGGGACCGGCCCTTCCTGCCAAGCCCAGCTTTTCAGCCAAGCTGCAGCTGGTGTCAGCGACCCAGGCTGAAGGGGATCCCGGCCAGCTGTGTTTCTCGCATGGCTGCCTTTCCCCGCCTGGCCGGAGGACACGCAGGCACCCCGAATGCCAACACCACGCGCACCTGCCCCAGGGCGAGGCAGGGCATGTATGACGAGCTGCCCCATCCCAGCGTCTCTCAGCTGACGGCTGCTCTGTCCACACAGGTTCCCCTTCTGCGGTGTACAAGGATCCCATGATTCTCGTGGGGCCAGAGAACCTGACCTTAACGGTGCACCAGACGGCGGTCCTGGAGTGCATCGCGACCGGGAACCCCCGGCCCATCGTCTCCTGGAGCCGGCTTGGTAAGTCGCCAGAGCGGCCGGCCTGGCCTGCCCTCCCGGTGGGAGGCTTTGGATCTCACGGCACCCAGAGCAGAGTCTCCCCCGCAAAATTTACTGTGCTTGGGTTGCCGTCCAAGCAGGTAAGCAGAGAGCTCTGTGGAGCCGTGTGCACGTTAGGCCAGAGCCTGCATTTGCCCCGCTGCGATGCTGAGACGACTGGCTGACATGCCAGGGCTGCTGTTGCACGGGTCACAGAGGCAATGTGCGCACGAGCTGCGGGAGGCCACTGGCTGATCTGGGCTCTCGCTGCGCCCGGGCCGTTTAATTCTGGGCAGACTGTCTTTGGGAGGAAAAGGGATTGCCTTTGCGCACAGGGTTCAGTGAGTGCTTGGTTCCTTGACCACTTTGAGGAAGAATCTCTCTCTCTCTCTCTCTCTCTCTCTTTCTTAAAAGCATTACTATCCTGTCTCCTACAAATGTCTTGGGATGGCTTACAATAAATACATAGAAGAAAACAAGCCCCACGGCATCCGACAGTTAATACACTAAAGCCGCAGTTAAAATCGAAGGAACATTAAAATAGTGGGAAAATTAAACGGTTTTTGCCTGCCGCCAGAAAGAATATAACGTGGGCTCCCGGAGAACCTCACTGGGGAGCCCATTCCACCATCGGGGCTCCACCGCAGAGAAGGCTCTTGGTGCTCACTCTTCTAACCTCCTTCAAGGAGGGCTCCCGGGGCAGGGCCTCTGGGGCAGGAGGGCACATGGGGAAGAAGGCATCCTTCAGGTGTCCAGGACCCAAGCCATTTAGGGCTTTATAGGTCAGAACCAGTACCTTAAACTGGCTACCAATTGGGCTTCAATTGGTAGCCAGTGTAACCGGAAGAGGGCCGGCATTATATGTGCGTATCTGCCAGTTCCTGTTAACATCCTGGCATCTCTATTCTAACCCAATGGAAGTATCCGGACCGTCTTCAAGGGCAGCCCCACACAGAGCTCATTACAGTAACCCAACTGAGAAGTTACCAGAGTGTGGGGCACTGCTGCAAGGCGATGCTCATCCATCATACATTTCCTGAGAGTAGTTTCTGTCTCGAAACAGGACAAGCAGCGAGTCAGAGTGGGAGGAGGAAAAGAAGCAGAAGGAAGGCAGCCGGGCCTTTGAGGCCACACACGGAGACGTGTCCGCACGGTGTCAGGCAGATGCGTGTACATGTGCCGTGTACGCCGGCACACCGTCTTGCAGGGACAGGTGTGTGGAACATCTCGACATGAGCCGCAGCATCTCTGTAAGCCTGAGCTTGCCTGGCCAGAGAAGCTCAAACATCACCCAGTAAAGAGCTGGAGGAAATGGGCATTCTTCCCAGCCGGCACTGAGCCGGCTGGTAAACTTTTCTGTTGGCTGGTTTGGACATCAGCAAGCTGAGTGGTCGGGGCTCCTGGATGTTGTGGGATCCGCGGCAGGCCCGTCTGCTGAGGCACACTTGCTCACGGGCCTGGATGCGGCCGTGGCGCTGACCCGGCTCTTGGGGAGGGTCTCTGGCCTGGGGTGCAGCCCCCGCTAGGCAGCAGAAGGGGGGTGCTCAAAGGTCCTTGCCTGAAACCCCGGAGGGTCCCTGCTGCCAGTCAGTGTGGACAGCACTGCTCTCGGTGAACCCATGGCCTGACCCAGGGCATGGGCAGCTTCGGATGCCCCTCATTCCAGGAATCAGGAATTCCACTCCCAGCCATTCGCTGCCGTCCCAGCAGTCCTAGGCTTCTGTGGAGCTGACACTCTTGGCATAGCCGGGATTGCCCATTCCAGAGCTGCATGTTCCAGATCCAGGAGGCATCCAAGCCCTTCCTCCCAAACGCTTTTGGGATTTATGCAAACAAATTTTATTTATATGTGTTTATTTTGAAATACTGCATATTAATGCTTCCTTTTAACCACCACGTTTGCACTCTTGACTCCATAAAAAGCTCACAGGTGGAACCGGTATATTGCTAAAGAGTTAGAAAACTGTGACTTAAAGAAAAAAAAATGCCTCCAGGTTATCGGAAAGCTGTCAGAATAGGGGATATAGTGAAAACTAAATAACTCTGGAAGGAGCCATTAGTGGTAAAAGCTCAGATGACAGAGGGGGGATCCAAGCAACATGCTTCTGGTTGGCGCACTGCGTACTGCTTCCTTGAATATTTTTGAGCGAATAAATTTCAGCTTTTTCCCCCCTCCGCTGACATCTCGTACATTTCACTGGTTGCTTTTTCTTCCCAAGAGGGAGATGAGACCTTTATACCTAGTGTAAATAATTTTTAAAGGTGAAATTGAGCTGAAGCTGAAATTCAGCCCAGCCCTTCATGAACGTTGCTGAGGAAGACATCCTGTTGCTACGAAATTCCAGGCGGGTTCTGCTTCACGGCTCGTCTCTTGTCCCCTCGTGCCGACCACGTTACCGCTTAACGCCAGCCGGCTGTTTGTCCACTCTGGCTCTCTGCCTCAAAATCCCTGAGGATGTAACCCCACATAAAAGGCCCCTTTTCTGTCTAAAGTCACACAGGACGGCACCTTTAAACACGTTTTCATATTCTGCTTAGAAAGGAGTCGGACGTTGTCCAAAGAAAACTGCCACTTTTGCAAGGGGTGGACCTGTGGGCTTCATACCAAGAGCGGTAGCAGGGCGCTCGTCAAGGTGGTGACCAGCAGCAGGTTTTGACGTGTGGGCTCTCATCCTGACAACTCCTGCAGCCCAGGGGAGCCCGCAAGCTCAGGCTGGCCTTGTGTGAAGCCTCCACGGACCGAGTTGGGCACGTTCCCTGGGAAAACTCATCCACCACCTGTGTGGGAGTTCCTGCCGAGCGTGGCCTCCCAGCACCGCTCCTGGCTGCCGTCCGGGCAGGGTTGCCCTGGTGGAAGGAGGGGCGAGGTCTGTGGGAGAAGCCCTTGGGGTGAGTCCTGACCTGGGGGAATCACTTCGGTCTCTTGTCCCTCGATCCAGATGGGCGTCCCATTGGCGTCGAAGGGATTCAGGTCCTCGGCACCGGCAACCTGATGATTTCGGACCTCACTGTGCAGCACTCTGGGATCTACGTGTGTGCCGCCAACAAGCCGGGGACACGGGTGAGGAGGACGGCCCAGGGACGGCTGGTGGTGCAAGGTGAGGCGGCAGGGCCGGGGTCCCTGCAGGGCTCCGTCGCCACTCGGCTGGGTGCAGAGGGGGTGCCGAGGCCGCTCCCTCGCCTCCCTTGTGCCCGTGAATTGAGCGGAGTGGGTACCCCGCACCCCCCAGCCGTGGAAATGCCACCTGGTGCTTCCTGCATGAGCCTTCGGAAGAGGCAGGTTGTGGAGGAAGACACGGGAAACTGCCCAGGGCTGCCGGCAGCCCTTTACCTGCAAATGACAGGCAACGGGGTGCTCTGGGTGTCTGGGGGTTGGCAGCAGGCCTGGTGCCAGGAATGGCGGGCTGGAGCGGCTAAGGACACACCGACAGAGCCCTGGTGTGTGTCTCGTCTCGACTTCTACGTGGAAGGCTTGTGTGAAGCTGGGAAGGAGGGTTTGCTGGGGCAGCACCTGCGGTCCCTGGCTCCGTGCCCAACTTCTCCAGGTAGGGCTGGGGCAACCCCCTGCAGGCACGACCTAAGCAGGTGAACCCATGGCCGGTATGCCGCAGCGTCGTAACTGCCTCAAGAAGCATGGCGCCGAGGGATCTTGCCCCATTTAGCCATAAAGCACTTTATTGATTTATTAAGTTTATAGCCCATCTGCTTTCCTTCCGAGGAACTCAAGGCAGCCTCCGTAATTCTCCTCTCCTCCCAATAGTGTCCTGCAACAACAGGGGAGGTTCAGGTTAGGCTGAGAAAGAGGTCTTTCCGAAGTCCTGAAGAACGGTGGCCCAGCTCCTCAACTAGGGCTCCCATGGGCACGACCGTATGTCTGTCTCTCCTCCTCCTCCTCCTCCTCCTCCTCCTCCTCCTCCTCCTCATTGTCTTCATTTCTATTATTACTCCCATTCCTGCCCTGCCCCACAGCCAGCGGCATCTCTGGATGGGAAGGAAAAAGCACAGCGAAATCGCTCTCAGTCACTGGTTTCTCCGCCTGAGCCTGTAAATGCAGTCGAGCCTTCGTGATGCTCTCGTGCTCACCCAGAGCTCTTGCGGGTTGGCTCCTCACCGAGCCATCGGGAGGATTCGGCCTGGATCCGTCGGGTTCTTTCCCCACAAGTAAAACAGCCAGAGGCCTGATGCTTTGGCTTTGTTCCGGGGGACATTTAGGGAGGGGCTCGGCTTAATCCCTCTGCGCCCCCGTAGCTGCAGCCGTGGGACCAACTCCCTGAACATCTGGGGGAGCCCTTTGGGACTTGGGGTGTGCCGTGCACCGGGCAATCGTGTGCCCCCCCGCCACACACACTCAAGCCCCCAACAACCGTTCCAAAAAGCCAGTTTTAATGACCTCGGGTGACAACGCTCAGAAAGGATTTTCTCAAATGTTTGCCGAACCTCAAGTCTCCATGGTGAAGTTTTTGCAAAGAGAATGTCTTTTGCACAGAAAAGGGGGCTGGGAGGCAGGAGGCCGTGCCAAGCCGAGAGCAGGGAGCTGAATGGTGTTAATCCTTTCCTGATTACGAGCCCTCATTTTTGTCTTTGAAGTAGCGCATTTCAAGCAGCCCGACATTCTCATCAGCCTCGCTCGTTAACGGCTGTCTTGATGAGCGCCTGAATCTAAAATTATATTTCTCCCGCCCAGGCAGCTTAATTGCGCATTTTCACAGGGGCACCAACGGAAGAGGGTTCTTTGCACGCTGGGCTTGCCTTCCACTCGCTCCGAGCAGCCCCCACAATGGGGGCAGCGTGATGCTCGAGTCCCCCCTTGCGTGATGACAGGTGTCTGCTGACGGGGGCCGCTTGGCAAATGGGTCCACCAAAGTTTGCGGTTCAGGTAGCTGCAGTCCAAACAAAGCTTCTGCCGAGGGTCCCTGTCTTGGTGGGGCAACAGCATCGCACTGGCTGAACACGCAGTCGGCATGCAAAAAGTCTGGTCGGGGGGCGGGGGCAAAATGTCCAAAATCTGGACAGCTGCCTCCCAGCACCAAGATTTCGGGGCCAAAGGCACATCTGGATTCATGAGATGGTGCCATGGGCGGTCGTGGCGGAGAATCGGAAGATGGCTGCAACCGGGAAGCACCGTGGGGGACGTGTGGGTCAGTGAGGTGTGGGGAGGGCTGCAGTCCAGGGCCAAGCTTTGCAGGCTGAGGGTTCCTGCTTCAACAGCCGGCATCTCCCGGTGGGACTGGAACAAAGTCCCTTTCCGGAAAGCAGAGAGCTGTCTTTACCCAGCTGCAGCCAAGACCGAGGTGGAAGGATCCATCGCTAGATCCTCGCAGGGTTTCTGCGATGGGAGAGGAGAACCTCATTGCATGAGGAGAGAAATGGTCGTGGAATGGCCAGGGCCTCGGGCTCACACGATCCATCAGCGCAAGTTATACTTGCACATCATTAACCAGTAAGAACACGAAATCTGCCTCAGTGCGGCACTGGGCGAAAAGGATGAAGGATGGCCAAATGGAGTAGTATCTCCCGCCGCCTGTCTCTCAACCAGCAGCCGAAAATGGCAGGAGGGACATTCCACCGCCGCCTGTCCACCTCCTGATGGCTCAGGACTGAGCACGCGAGTCAGATCTGTTGGAAAGCTCCGGGCTTTCAGCGCAGTGGAGCCCTTCCGTCTCCTGCTTGAGTGTGGCAGCTCGGCATCGTTCGTGCGGCCATCCTGTGCGAGCCGCAACGCTGCGGAAATCCTGCTCTCCTGACCGGAGCCAGAGCCTCACGTACAGGGCCAGCCCTTAAGTGGCGGCCATGGTGCAGGCCGGCCCTCGATCGGGGCATCTCCGTGGCCCCCCTGCCCCGCTGGAGCGTCAAGCCTTCAGCCACGGCTGGAATGTGCCGTATGTTCTGAAATGGATTCTTGTGCTCGCAAAAGCCAACCCAAAAGCAAGCGGGGTGGGGGGCAGTGGAAGGAAGGCCTTGGAATGGTGCCCTCAGAGTCGAAAGGCTGCACTGCCGAAGCGCTTTCATTTCCTCCCAGCCCACCGTGGAAATCCGCCATCCCGTGTCGCACATCCCGCGCCCCCCGGAGGGATGGCCCTCGCCGCCCAGTCGGCACAGCGCTCCCTCCGGCGGAACTCGCGTTCTTGCCTGAAGTGTGAAAGTGCAAGCTGGGGTCGAGAGAGCCTTCCCTCCCACGCCTCCTCTCCAGAGCCCTCACAGCCAACACAACCCTTTCCGCTAACTCACAGTCAGCGTCACTCGCACCCCCTTTGCCCAAACTTTAGACCTGTCCCCTTTTGTCCGCCTTTCCCAACTTTTGCAGAATCCTTTGATCTCCGTAGCTTTGTTTCTGCTGCAGGGCATTTCCTGTACCCTTTGTGAATATGTCACTTCCAATGCTGGACGTTGCTCTCGTTCCCCATCGCAAACCCAGAACCCCGCAGGGACGGGAAGGGAAGGGGGTGATTAATAGGACCATGTGTTGACCGAAAACTCACTCTGTTTGAACCTTGATTGTTCAGTGCTCAGGGTGCTGGTTGGTCTGTGTGAGTATCCCTGTTATGGGGGGCCCTGGACGCCCACACGTCCTACATGCCCTTCCTCATCCCCCAGCCCAACTGCGAGACCCTCGTGCAGATGGCTCCTATGCCCCCTCTCCTTCCAGCAGCCCCGTCTGCTTCTTTTCCCAAACCCAGGATGGATGCGTTTCATTTTAAATATTTCTGAAGAGGGTATTTAAGCTTTTTGAAAGGAACCCCATGCCTTTAAATTAGGGACCGTTGGAGATCTGTTCTCCCTTCCCTTTTCCTATTAAGTCCTCCAGAATAAAAGCTTTTGCTGCAGCGCACAAGGAAGGTGCCGCCATCTCCCACCCGGCCGTCATGGTGCCGTTCCTGAGATGCCAATTGGCCTTTTAGTGCTGGCTGCCTCCCTTCACCCCCCCCCCCCGCCCACTCCCCACCTGCCCCGCACCTCTGCTTACGGCATGGCTCCTCTTCGGGGCATCATGAAGCGGGCGGGGGGCATCCAGAGCTATCGCACACGTCAGTGTAAAGGCAACTCCTGGTGCAAACACCGCCTTGACCTTGCTGAAATCTTGCTTCTGCTGCGTCCTCGCTGGGCAGCCTCAGGCAAGCCGCTCCCTCTTAGCCTCTGATCCCCCTGCCTGCAGCTTGGTGAGACAGTATCGCTTGCTGCCGCTGCTGCTGCTGCTGGATGCCGTCCGGCCAGTGTTCCTCCGCCCTGTAGCCGCGTGCCAGGCCAGCCGCAGGGGTGAGGCTGAGGAGGCCCACGGCACAGTGCGATGTGCGGGCCCCCTCCCACCCGCCAGAACGCAGTCGGAAAAGGCAAAGGTCCCCCCTGCACATGTGCGCTTGTCGGGACCAACTCCAGGAGGGGCGCGCGTCCCTGTTTCTAAGCTGCAGAGACGGCCTTGGCCAGGGACGCTCCCGTGGTCGTGTGGCCGGCATGACTGGACGCTTTCGCACACGCAACGCTGTTGGCTTCCCACCGAAGCGGCACCTATTTATCCACTCGCATTTGCACGCTTTTGAACTGCTAGGTTGGCAGAACCTGGGACAGGAGCTCTCTCCATCACTAGGGACTAGTGGCACTAGGGATTTGAACTGCCAGCCTTCCGGTTGACAAGCTCAGCGTCTTACCTGCTCAGCCACTGTGCCCCCCCCCCAAAAGTACTGTACCTTAAAAAAAACTAGTTCTAGTTTCCACTTTGTCTTGGCCCGCAAAGCCTTAGAAACTGGCACACTCCAGATTCAAGTGGAGGATTTATTTTAGAGGCCAGGATAGACATGCTCCCCGCTCTGCCCTGCGCAGTGTTCCGGAATAATTTTTCTTCCAAGGTGAACGGAGGCACTAAGGAAGCCCATGGAAGTGATGGGGACCTGGGGCACCCTGGCTTTTTCATAGGGTGCAGTGTTGTTTTAGGATTTCCTATAAAAGAGCGCCCAGCGGATCCAAGATCCATCTGGCACCTCAGTCTTGGTATCTACTTGAAGGTGGGAGCGGCAGTGGGCCTTGTGTGGGAAAACATTCCTACCTCTTGGATTGCCCGTTTCCCCTTCCCGCCACAAACAGCTCCCGCTCAAGAAACGGGGTCTGTCTTTTACTCCTTCCTCGCTCTTTTGCAGCGCCTGCGGAATTCGTGCAGCACCCCCAGTCCATTTCCAGGCCCGTGGGAACCACGGCCATCTTCACCTGCCTGGCTCAGGGGGAGCCTCCGCCGCAGGTCACGTGGCTGAAGAACGGGCGGATTTTAGAACCCACGGACCACATTAAGCTGAAGAACAGCAACAGGTGAGCACGCCAGCTCCTGGGGGCTTTACTAGGAGTGGGAAGGAAGGGTGGGTGGGACAAGCGCACTGCTGTGGACCTGATGGGGGCACAGACGGGAGGGAGAGAAGCTGGCGGCCTGGGTTCTTGAAAGGTGCGTCTCGGGTTCTTCAAGGAGGTGAGTGGTGGACAAAGGTCTGCAGAAGGTGCCTTGCTCTGCAGGTGCCAGGTCTCCTTCGCAGCACGTGCCTGCGAAGCTGCCGGGGATCCACCCACACAGGTGGATGCAGAACGATTCCTGGAAGGCTCAAGCCTTGAGAACGTGGCCTCTGGCGTAGCCCAGCACCTTTCCTTCCGTGAAATGCCTTGACAGCGATCCATGTGGTACTTGAGTGGCTCTGGTTTTGGGCAGTCTTTTCCCAACAAGCGTTCCTGCCTTTCCCTGTATCCGTTTGGGCCCCCAACTGCGTGTGCGATGGCCCCCAATCCATGCCCTTTGATAAGAGTGACCTTGTGGCTAAGTTCTCTGAACTCTTATCTCGCTGGGGACTAACGCTGTTTTTCGCAAAGCTCCAAGAACCAGATTTCCATGCTAGAATGAAATGATATTCATGTTGTAGAAATAGCAGAGTGAGATGAACCTAGTGAGAAAATTGCTGCCAATGGGCTTGACTTCTGTAGAAATAATTCAAAGAATACGGGGAGAAGTAACCGTCAGAGTTGTGCATCTCTGGGTGCTGAGTGTTTCAATGGATGTGCGTGGCCTGAGCGGAAAAAGAAACCCGCCTGCCCTCCTCGAGAGTTTCTTACTCTGTGGAGATGTCACGTGGGCAGAGGTGAATGGAAGGCTGCTGGGAAGAGCCCCCTCTGCAAGCCATATGGCAAAGGCATTGGATAAGAGTGCCTCTGAACATGAGCAGAGTGCCTCATGCACCGGGAGTTAGGAGGAGAGACTGAGCTTCTGGTCCAGAAAGCATGGTCAGCACTCCGGAGCGTCCCTTTTCTTTCCAACAAGTTTGCCTCCCAATTCTGTATCGTGCTCAGTCCATTCTTGGATCTGGTTTTCTTTAGGGCCATTTACAAGCCTAAAAACCCACAGCAGCAGCAAGGATGAAGCAACAGAAAAATACTGTAGTCAATACTGGAAACGTTCAGGAGCCAGCAGTAAAATTAATCAAGCAACGTATTAGAGGATAAAATGCCTGTTTACAGAGGAAGGCCTTGAGTGCAATTGGTGTCTTGCCTGGCATTAATCTTCGCAGCCTCCTCTGCTCAAATAGCAGTCCAGTTTCTGAGTGTGGCCAAGACGGTGCTGTTCACGTGCATGTCGGAAGGGTCGGGAGTTTCAGGCAACCCCCCAAGGTTTGCATCTCCATCATCATCATCACCTTCATCATCATCACTGGGGTAAGGGGGAACCTGCACCCCAAGGGAGCACCTCGAGCACTGGCAGCAGCACTGTTTGTGAGCCGCCCCGAGGCTTTGGCGAACGGGGCGGCATAGAAGTTCCCCAAATAAACAAATAGACAGACCCTACCCACCTGTGGCCGAGAAGCAAATGTGCCTGCACCAGCACCCCCCTCCCAGTGCCCCACCTCCACGCCCATCTGCCTCCATGCCCAGCTCCCCCTCCTGCCCCTGTTTTCTCCCCCCAGGCCAGCCAGCAATTTCATGATTTCAATTAAAATCTTTGGAAGCAAAACTTAAATCAGGAACTTTCGCCTTGCACTGTGTCCTTCACCCCCTGCAAGACCCCCCTGGAGCTGAGCCGTCGCAGACTTCGGTTGTGCTTTGCTCGGACCCAAAACAACTCTGGCCTGTCTCCCCCTCGCCTGCGCTGGGGAGGACCCGCCGAGTCTGAGGGCCCCAGCAAGACTTTGTGTCCTCAGCGCTCCTGGTGTCGTGGCTGCTGGCCCTTTCTTCCTCCCCACAAGTCGCCCTCATTGCTAGAGGGGGATTGGGGCCACAAAACATGACACACTGCGTGATAGCTTCAGCTGCCAGTCTGAGCTAAGCCCGTGCAGTTCTTTATGGCTTTTGTATTCCATTGCTCCTCCCGAGAGCGTGGGACCACATGTATTTCTCCATCTTTCCAGCACCACTCCCCTGCTAGGTAGATTAAGCTTCAAGAGAATCTTCCAGGATCAATGGGAGGTTGGACCCAAGTCTGTGCATTTCCAACCCCACACAAGGAGCTAGAGGGGTTTGCACACGCCCAGTTTGAACACAACTGTCCTAGCGGGGCCGATGGTGTGATTCACTGCCAGGAAAGGTTCCTCTAATCAGTACATCCTCAGTCATCCATGATTTCTAAATCCACGTTCCTGAGCAAAGTCACCAGAGAGTTTTTGGAAGAGGGTGCGGTGAGTGATGTTGGAGATGAGGCGAGTTTTTCCCTTTGAGGTGTGCCGTTCTCTCTCTCTCTCTCACTCTCTCTCTTCCCATATCTTTGTTTCATCCTTGTGCGCATGTCTAAATGCTGTAACCCACTTAGTTCCAGGCAGAATTGGTTTGCGCCGTGGCCTTTGGACATATCTGCCAATGGCACTCGGAGAAAAAAAATATTTCCCTGTGTAATGATGGGATCTCTTATCTTGCAGTAATGAGTCTGACTAAGCTTCAGTGTGAGCCTCGTAATTAGATTACATGCTCCCCCCCTGCAAATTTCATTTGGATTAAAATGCGTCATATGGTAATAAAAAGACTGAATGCCCCTGAAGGATTTCCCCCTTTTTCTTGATTAAAAAAGAAGAGGAAGAACGGGAAAAGGAAAGAAATGCATCCGTCTCAGCTCATGCTGTTTGCTAATTGATGCAATATCACCTCAGTGATTATTTTTCTGGGAATGAAACATGCCAAGAAAAAAAGCTGAAGCGAGAGCATCAGATCCAGGCAGCTTCTTTTTCTGTGGAGGCTTGCCAAAATCCTAGCCTGAGCTTTTCCAGGGCCAAACCACCCGGGATGCAGAAGATCCCGGACAGGATTTGCAGCAGTGCAGCCGCGAGGAGCCCTGATGTTGCCGAGAACAGTGGTGTCGGTGGAGAGGGTGTTTAACCCACCGATGATGCCATTTCAGCAGCTGAAATGGTTGGCCCCACCTGGCTGTCATTAGCCCCACTGCAGAAAATAATATCAGCACAAGGCCAGTAAAAGCTGGAGCGCCTTCTGCTGCATTCCTTCCCTAAAGTTGGAAAATCCACCGTGGGCTTCCCCTTCTGGGTGCTTCAGCCCTAGAACAGTCCAGGGTGAGCCGATCCATCCGGCTTGTGCAGCCGGCCAAGGTGCACCCAGCCCCCTCTCAGCCGTGCCTGAGGGTCCCCCAGAGGGACGACAAGCCCCATGATGCAGTCGCCTGCCTGGGCTGCAGAGCCCCCAGGCTGTCCAGCCCAGGAAATGGGAGCAGCCTTGTCCTGGCCTGGCCATGGGTTCACCGAGAGCAGTGCTGTCCACACTGACTGGCAGCAGGGACCCTCCGGGGTTTCAGGCTAGGACCTTTGAGCACCCCCCTTCTGCTGGCCATGTAGGGGGCTGCACCCCAGGCCAGAGACCCTCCCCAAGAGCCGGGTCAGCGCCACGGCCGCATCCAGGCCCGTGAGCAGGTGTGTCTCAGCAGACGGGCCTGCCTTGGATCCCACCAGCGCCCTCGGGCCTTGGCCTTCTCTGCGTGGCCTCCCCTCGCCCTGCCCTTCGCAACTTGGGGTGGTGATGTGCCTTCTGGCGCCCCTGCAAGCCGCGGGGCCAGCTTCCAACTGCCTGGCCGTGCCGCTCTCCTGGAGCCCAGTGCAGGGCCCGGGGCCACACGCTCTCCAGCGAGGTGTCCACTTCTTTCGTTGAGGGTGCTCCGCACTTGCTCCAGGTGAGTCTTTACTGGGACGGCAGTGCAAGTGAGCTTAACCTGGAGCACCCCAGGCCCCGGGGGGAAGAGGTGCGGTGAGCCAGCAGCTGCGGAGGCTGATTTGCCCGTCAGGTTTGGGGCAGAATTGGGCAGAGGGAGGCCAGAAAATGGAGTGGCAAAATTTCCACTGGCTTTCTTTATTGCCCTTTTCCCTGGCCTGATCTGTGTACGTCAAGGGCTGCGCTGGGTACGTGCGTGTGCGCTCAGGGAGGCAATTTGCGGGCAAGAAAATAAATTTGGTTAAAGGGGTTTTGTTTCTGCAATGCATCTACTGCCAGAGGAGGCAGCGAAAGCTAACCTTCCAGGTGCAAAGGCAGGCTACTAATATTGATTTTTATGTTTCCTGCGGGAAGATTGTATTTACAAATGGTAATTAAGGGGTCCCTATTCATCAGTTCTGGCAAAAAGCCCTTCTGAGCCTTGGGCAAGGGCTCCGCAGTCACTTGTACTTCCGTCTTACGAACGCCCATCCCCCCGTCTCTCATTCTTTCCCCAGCACGTCATTTTTTGCTGATCCCCTGCACCCCAGTTGCTTCTCCTTGATTTGGAAGCCCGCAACGTACCTTGGAACCCCAGCAGCTGCCTTGTGTCAGTTCAGGGACTAGCTAGTGGTGCCGGCACAGGTCGGCAGCAATGATTTTCCAGGGCTTCCCGTTTTTCTGGCCCTCCTGGGGGTCACACTCAGGCCCTTCCACACGCGCTCGGCCACAGGTGCAGCCCCGCCCACCTCCTCCTCCGGGTGCGGCACACGGCCGTTATGGGACAACTCTGCACGAGCTCAATTGCGCTAAGGCAAGCATCCTTCTGTGCGGCCATCCAGCGCCCGGATGCAGGTGAACTCCGGCAGTGGCCAGCGGGGTCCTCCTGGAAGCTGCTTTTGCCACAACACTGCCCAGCTCTCTGAAGCATATGGCCTTGGAGGCGCGGAAGCCTGTTCAGCTGCTGCTGGGCCGGCCCAGTGATCGGACCAACCTTCTAGGCTGAGGCACTTGGCGGGAAGGTTTCACGCTCTACCTGTATTGTCCTTTCACCTTCGTCGGGTGTCCCAGATGTGAAGGAGGAGCAAAGGTACCCTTCCAACACCTACAGAGGGGGCTTCGCATTTGCATGCGTCCGGTGTAACTCAGGT